TCTTTGGTACCGTTGTATGTTTATTGTCTCGATCATTCCTGGGAATGTTATGAATCTCGCATGGACATTCTCCCGTACATCGCCAGATCTTGGAGGGGGGGTTCCGTAAGAATTATGAGGGGGTGCCGGGTCCCGGTCGTGGTGCTGTGAGCTGGCTGTGCACGTGGTGGAGACAGGTTGCTGGTGCCGGTGCTGGTGCTGGGTGCTGGGCGCCGGTGCTGGTGGTGTGAGCTCGCTGTGCACGCGGTGGAGACAGGTTGCTGGTGCCGGTGGTGGTGCTGGGTGCCGGGCGCCGGTGCTGGCGCTGGTGCTGTGAGCTGGTGCGGGTGGTGCAAACAGGTTGCTGGTGCTGGTGCCGGGTGCCGCTGCTGGCCGGGCGCCACTGCCGGTGACGGTGCTGTGAGCGGGCTGCGCGTGGTGGAGGCAGGTTGCTGGTGCCGGTGCTGGAGCTGGGTGCTGGTGCTGGGTGCTGGGCGCCGGTGCTGGTGCGGGTTCCGGTGCCAGTCCGAGCTTACAGCATCAGCACCGGGGACTGCCTTTATACTGGCCAGTCTCCAAGTGCGCAAACATCCGAGGGGCGACGGTCAGTTGCAAAAACTGGTGGATGTATGAGACATGGTTTGTGTTACCCTGGAGACTGGCCAGTATAAGAACAGTCAGCAGCCCATGCACAGCTGGAGACTGGCCAGTATAAACACAATCGTGACCTTCTGCGGTGCAAAAAGGATCAGAGAGATGACGCTTACAAAATGCTAGGGTTGCCAGGCCCTGCTAACAAACATTTTTGATGGGTGCAAAAAGCATATTTTGATCTCAGGCAACGTCAACGCCAAAAGTCACGCCCCGCAAATGTCAAACAGAGTCAACCTTGAATGTGATCCTGGGCATGGTGTTTGATTCGCTTACAATATGTTTGATTTTTTAATTTTGCTTGTTTTTAGTTCCTAGAATACGCGTATCTTTGCAAAATATAAATCCTCTGGTCGCTTGCAACATGGCACCGCCTGCCACCCAGTGAGGTCACCAAACGTACCCCTACAAAATCGTTCACAATAAATTTCTTACAACATGGGTACTCAATGTAGTCCTCAGACACCCCATGTCGTAAGGAAAATGCGAATTTTGATGGAAAAAACGTTTTCCATGTTTTTGTTGTGTTTCCCGCGAGCTGCACGCGTGCGGCCACATTTGTGGCCGGTGTGGGGTGAAACAACGCAGCCGCGTCAGAGAAGACCGTTGGGGCTAGGTTGCGCTCCAGCTGCGACTGGGAGGCCAAGCTCGTTGAGGAGCGGCGCGTCCCCGTCCACGTTGTCAGTGGACTGCAAGGGGAGGGCGGGCAGGTTGGAAGGAACGGTTTCTGATGTTTCTGGCACTGTAGTTCCCTGTCCTCTCCTAGAATGCGTTGCGTTGCGCGTAGGCAGCCACGACAGCACAAACACGTGACTTCGGAGAAAGGGAGTGGGAGGCGAAGCGGGCGAAGGAGGACCCGGTAGAGGTGGGAGGGATAAGTCATGTGTCGCAGGGGCATGGTGGTGAAAGTTCGGTCTGTTAAGGGGCCTGACTGGGAAGCCAGCATTGCTTGGTCCGGTGCATCCAGGACGGCGAGCATGCCTTGGTGCAGTGCAGTGTGCAAGGTGTGGGCGGCCTGGTACAACCGTGGTGACTGGCGTCGGGCCACCTTTTGCGGGGTCGGTAACACCCCGCGCGGTGCCCTACGAAGAAAGCTGCCGATTGTGAGCGACGACAGCTTGGGCTGGGAACTCAAAGGCCGCATGTGCACCCTTCAGGTCAACAACGTGGTTCATTCGAAGAAAAGGTTCACAATGCATGTGCTTTGCATGGTACAAATGCATTGTGAATCTCTGAAGGCAGATCCACCACTGTCGTTTCCACCTCAGGTCTAGTCCATGGCGGCCAATGAAGGCAGTGAAGTCAAGCCCTCAAGTCAGCAAAGCAGCCGGAAAAACCCAACGAAGTGGCCCTCACTCACTCAGTTGCACCGGCCTGCCTGCGTTTCTTGGAGCCCAGACTTCTTGGAGCAAACGGGCCGGGTTTTCACGAGCCTGTGTCCAACCAGAGCATTGACTTGGAATGGGGTGAAGCCAAGAAGTGGCTCTGTGCTGCCCACAACACCTCCCTGCCATGCGTGCTGAATGAACGCCTGTTGCGCTCTCAGCCCGGATGGCCTTCTGAGTTCATCCCTGTCAAACTTTAAAGTATGTCGAATTGCCTTTATGGGAACATGTTTGCATGCCTTGTTGAACTTGTGCGTGGTTGCGTCTTGGATTCCGCCCTAGTGGGCTACTTTGGTTGTTGTCCCATTGTTGAAGCCACAAGACAGATGCGCAATCGAACCACACCGGCCTGTAGTTCATGCCTCTTGGCCCTTGGCCTTAGGCTGTTGGACCTCATGTCCAACCACCTATGGCCAGCCATTCATCCTCATACGGTGCAATGGAGCCGATACATCATTTGCATGCATGTATGGCCGAGTTGATACAGTTGCGGGCCAATGGTCTATTATCCCGCATTCGGCGTTCTGCCCGCCTCCAAAGCAAGCGATAGCATGCCACCCTTGCAGTCGAGGGCTGCGTATGGCTGCGTTGTCCTTCCGCGCGTTCCCAGAAAAACGTTCAGTCGCGCTGGGGTATTCCAAAATCCTTTTGCACCCCCAGCTTTGCCAGAAGCACACTTGGTGACACCAACTTGGGCGGATCTCACATGCGCGAACACAGATTCAATCTCATCAAGGCTCATCAACATCCGAGAACGCAAAGTTGGTGCAAACAATGCCTTGGAAACCCAGACCCAGTGTACGTGTGCCATCCAAAGAAATTCGGAGAGGCCAGGGCGATTCGAAGAAGTGCGAACGAAGGAGACCAGGGCGCACACGTTTGTTCGGTGTCGGGGGCCCGCCCGTTGCTTCAGGCCCCGTTTCGGCTTCAGTGCGGCTCTTGGTTGCCTGTTGACCGAGCCCGCTTTCCTGTCCACGAAACAGACTCCTGTGAGGTTCCAACTGGCGAACTCCCGCGTGACTCACATGGTGCTCAAGGTTCGTTGCGCCTGTCACATACACACACCTGCCAAAGTGGAAGTTCGGAGTACAATGTTCAATTTGCTGGGTTGCTTTGTGTAGGGCGTTTTTGGTCCTGCATGATTTGCGCCCCACAAGTTTTCGTCAATTTTGGCAGAAACTATGTTTTACTGTGCACGTTTTCATCAACCTCTTGCAAGCTGTAGTTTGTTACATTCCAGCCACACATGTGGTCACTTGCCCAGTAGTCATACCCCAGTTTGTGCACGTCAACGTTTGAAGAGTTCACCAACTAAAAGCACCACAATTTGGTCGACGGTCTCCATTGTAATAGATGACACAGAGATACACAGAGTAGGTTTGTGAAGGTGTCCGATTTTCGCTGACGATGCGTGACGCTGCGTGACGATGCGTGACGATGCGCGACGCGTGAGAGTGAGTTTTAGTGTGGGTGAGAGTGAGTGTGAGTGAGAGTGCGTGAGAGTGAATGAGTGCGGGCGGGAGTGGGAGTGAGTGAGAGTGGGAGTGAGTGTGAGTGAGAGTGAGAGTGAGTGAGTGTGAGAGAAAGAGAGAGAGAGAGAGAGAGAGAGAGAGAGCGAGTGCGAGTTTGAGTGTGAGTGTGAGTGAGTGTGGAGTGTCAGTGTGAGTGAGAGTGAGAGTGATTGTGAATGTGAGTGAAGAGTGAGTGTGAGTGAAGAGTGAGTGTGAGTGTGAGCGTGTGTGAGTGAGTGAGAGTTGTTCTTTCTTCTCTTGCTTTGAAAGCCGTAAAGATTGATGTAATACGTTCTGCATGCGTCTTCATGCGTCTTCGAACCTCTGCATGCGTCTTCATGCGTCTTCGTACCTCTTCATGCGTCTTCGTCGATAATTGGGACCCCTCTATCGCCAACAATGCTTCAATGCATAAATATCACACTTATCACACACAAAGAAAATCAACGAACACCGCAACACATAGGCAGCATAAAAGATTCTTCATGGGGTCCTCCGTCTCACACAAACACATACAAACACAAAGTTTTTTACGGGGCAGCGCGTTTTTTGCCGTTGGCTTCAACAGCAACCCTTTTTCGGGCCCACGGTTTCACAGCGCGGCCGCAAACTGGACCCTGGCAATTATAAGGGTTTCAGGCAGAGTCTGTGCTCGGGACCACTTGAAAGAACATGGCTTTGTCTGTCAATAGAACTGAAGGTGTCAGACGATTGCTAGGCGGCGTCTCAGAACAGGCTTGACGCAAAGCTCCTCTAGTCAAGTCAATGTACCAAGCTGCTTCTTCATCATCGCTGAATCCTTTCAATGCAACCTGCAACTCTGCCGCATTGGCCCCAGCCACATCTAAATCACTTTCAAAGCCAGCGTCGCCCTAGAAAAACTCAAGATAGTTTCATGTATGGACTGCTTCCAAAAAGGCAACAAATTCAGAACCTGTGAAGGAAGCAGTTTTCCCATCAATTTGCAGTGAAGAACCGTTGGGCAACAGGGAAAGCACCCCATGGACGCGATGAAAATGACGTGCGATGGGCCATGAAATCAAAAAAGAACGGATCTCTCACTTATGGCTACAGGCATGGATTCAACGGGATTCAAACCTGAATCCAATGTCACCACATGCAATTTGACAATAATCTTTCGTGCACAAACCCATTCAGGCCATGAAAGAATCCAAGGAGCCAAAGAATGCAAGATTGCCCTCATGCACATGTTGCAGGGATGAACGGGACCAAGGAGAGGCGTGCAAGCCACCTTTTTGCGGAAGGAACAAAAACATATATATGCGAATTCTATACCATATACTGTAATGTTCTAATAATGGCAGTTCAAGCACGCAAGTCCTAAAGCAGGACCGAGAAGACAAAGCTCTGGTTCATGTTCGCGCTTTCTTGTCTGTGTTGTGTCTTTCGTGAAAGAGATGAGGGATCTTTGGTCAATGACCTGACAAGGGATGGACAAAAATTAAAGAGACACATGCTGCATCTCGGCACCAATCGGGTAGCGGTCAACTCTGTGGGGTGTGCCAGTGTGCAATTCCATGCGACCTCACAAGAAAAGGAAACTTTCAACTGGACCCTCACCGAAAATTCATGCATCGCGTTCGCTGTCACATTCCTTCACAGTTGGCGATTCCGGCACTGTGGTGTGAGATGGTGTCATGTCAATGCAATGAACACATTCGTGCGGATATATCATATCTGTACACCTTGGCCAGGTGCATGACAACCAACCTGGTTCAGTTAGCCACAGAACCGGGGCTAGACAAAAAGTTGCCCGATTAAATGAACCTTTGCCATTGGAAACGGACGCACGGCAAGCAAACGCAGAAAACTCCAAGGCAGTGTAATGCTGCAGTGCAAGGGTGAGGCCACAGAGGAGGTCAAATTTATCTTCACTGCTGGCTGCAGTGATGAAACTTGTTGCCGAAAGGCACCCGTGCACGAGTGTGTGTGTGTGTGTGTGTCAAGCCTGAGTTAATGCTTTTGTACTGGTGAACCACGATGTGTTCACATGTGTTCATCAGTGGTCAAAGTGGGGGATCGTCACGTCGAATGCCATGTCGGTGAGCCCTTTGGAGTGTCCGGCACGGTGGGCGGCTGGGTGCGCGGGCAAGGACCACCCGGACCAGCTGCAGAACAGGAATCCAACCAAACGTGCCACCAGGGGTATCTCTCATGAAGGGAAAGAAGGCCAGGATCAGTCTGCTAACCATCACGCAGTGGCGGCGAGCCCTCTTTCATCCTATCTGGTGTGGGAGTTCTTGTCACGACGCAGGACATTGGTGCACGCGATGATGCAGGCGTTTTTCAAGCCACAGAGAGGCTGCACAGGCTGAACTGCCGGGGGCCACAAGAAGTGTGAAGTGCATAAAGCTACTCCAACCGTGGACTCTGATTACAGATGTGGTAATCACCACCAGGAGCAAGCAACAAACAATACAGGTGGAGCATACTGTGGTTTGGCAAATGAGTAGAGCAAAGTCCAAGGGAGCTTCACTATGGGATTGGCACCAAGAAACTTCACCCAATATCACTATCACAAATTACCGGTGTCTTCGCCTCCAGGCCATGAAAGGCAAGTCGAAAAGGGTGACATGTGGCGGCCGTGCTTCTGACAAAGAATGGAAACAACGCTTCGCACGCAATTGCAGTAGCAACCTGGAGCTGAACCCCCCTGCTGGAAACTTGCCAAAGCCAGGCAGAACTCAGGTAGCTACCTGGCTGCCGTGTGGATTGTAGGCCCACCAAGCTCAAAGCAATCTGAGCTGCCTGCCCAACAATGATGTCGGAGCTGAACGAGGTCTATCCACCAGATGCTAGATTATGAAATGAATAAATCCCCAATGCCCAACAGCTTTTCCTGTTGAAACTGCTTCCTGCGCCTTGAGCCCCAAGATCTTTTAGAGGAAGTGGGCTTGCCAGGAAACATCTATGCTCGACGAGAGCTGTGCGCAGCGGTAAGCATACGATGACACACTAGACCACTAGACTGGGCACTGTAAATGCGATTAAATGGATTTCACTGTATGCGGCGCGTCTGTGAGTTTGCAAACTCCTGGGCACTGGATGTTTGTTGGCTTGTCCCAACAAAAAAATTGCTTGGGCAGCTTGCGCTTCCCTTTCAAGGCTCCACGACCCGCTCGTGAGCTGGCTTGTGCTTTGGCCCCGCGGCCGCGGTCAGCGGAGTGCTGTCGATGTGGGTAGCACGCAAGGGACCGGGCCGCGGCCGCACGATAGAAACACCTTCACCAGGTGATCGGAGCGAAACAAAGCAAATCCACAAAAATGCCCAGTTCGAAACGTGAATGTGGTGTGCGTGTGTGTGTGTGTGTGTGGCCTGTTCATGTGGTGCAAGCTGCAAAACGTCTGTGAATCGCACATCAAGCGCACCTCTGCCTTTTTTCTCCTCCCCAACACTTCTGTTGTGCTCCCCTTGGGGTGCCTCTTTGCAAGCTTCAGTCTACCTAGTCTACTTGATGCTTCCTGTGACTCTTCAGGCCGTCTTGGATCGCCTTTGACTCCAAACACTACGTCACTACACCGCCTAGGGCTCGCACACAGTGGCACAAACCTACACATCTGTCAAGATTCTACTTTGCATATTCTCCATTACAAAAAATCAACAACGCAGCAAGGAATGAAGATGGACCGAACTAGATCTAAAAGGATTAAAGACGAAGAAGAACTGGCCTAACAGCCTCGCAACAGCAAGCATCAGTATCCTTCAATTCACTGTATCACTGAATTCACTCGGCATCGGCTTCCGCCGGCGACAAATGCAGCCGAGCCCATCGCCGCCCCCCCGCGGAGCTTGGGTGTTGGCGGTGGGCGCTGAAGACGTGCAGAAGATCGCTGGAAGCCGACCCTCCTCTGCTGCAGGTCATAGACCGAGATGTAGCTGCGCAAGAGGGGTTGCCCCAAGACCCACATTGGAGGCCTCTCTGGCGGCAGCGTTGATGAGAAGAGCGCAGGTCGGCAGTCTTCCGCATAGTCTGCTGGCTCCAAAGTCAAGGTGAGGCTCCTGGCAAAACAAAGAGTAACAAAGAAGACATGAAAGGCCGGAATGTGTGCTTGCTTATGAAAGAACATCCATGGGCCCATCTGAAGCACAGACACCTCTGAGCAACAAGGTGGTCACCACCACTAGATGAGGTCTGAAGACCGTCTTCTCCCCGCTCCTGTCGTCGACGCCCTTCATGCGGAATTCGATCTTGGGCAAGGTCGTGAGGTTGCATGCCTCCAGTCACATGATTCGAGATCGGTCCGAGTGGGAAGCACCTCTCACACATCGTCAAGGAACGGTTGAGAAAAACAAATCTCTATCCGATACTCTATATCCGATCACACTTGCTGTGTCAAACGGTGTGTTCAGAATCCGCCAACAACCAGATGCGACATCATAAGATTCATAAGGAGGCATCCCGCAATGCCTGGGTTTCAGAGAATCCGATGTTGCAATAGGCCCATCCGTCCACTTCGTCGCTTCGATAGGGCCATGAACATCCACGGACCGACCGGTCGGTCAGCGTCAGCTGTCCGCCTCTGTGATCTGAAGCCGCAGCAGCAAGGAATCCACAATGTCCTGGCCAGGTGTCGCGTCTCCTCTGCCCTCTTTTTGAGGCGACCTTTTGAGACCCCTGTTGGAGGCCATCGCTGCTAGGTGGAGGCCATCGCTAGTAGCTCTAAACTATCATCAACATAAAGGATGTCCGAGAAATGAATGAATTCCATCAAGATTAAGATCTCCTGTTATTTTAGACTGAAATTCAATCTCTCCAAGACTCAGCGCCGACTCCGGAGACCCTCCGCACCTTGGGCCCCAGCACATCACCGCTACCGGTGTCCTTGGAAGCACGGGAGGATCGGGAACATGAGCTGCCTACGCCTCGGGTGCCTCGGGTGCCTCGGGTGCCTCGGGTGCAGCTGTGGCGATGTCACTGTGTTTGTTCCGTCACGTTCCGTCCTTCTCGTTCTTTCTCTTTCTTTCAGGTGAACAAACCGGTTTGGAAGGCCTCTGATACGATCTTATACGAGGCAGTGGATATTAATATATATATATAGAATAGTTTCGGCTCTTTACAGGAGTGCATCCTTGGTATTTATGTTATACCCGTTGAATAACGCCAGAATCGTTGGGTGAAGGATCTCAATTGGAAAACTGTATTTAAATCCTTCCGGAAAACTGTATTTAAATCCTTCCGGGCTCACGTCCTTTTTTTTAAATGTTCCAAGGTCGACGCTCAATTTTGTTGACTGAGATTCTGTCGTGTTAAAATCTCGGGCCGACGTTTTAATATAATCCTGTCCCAACCCTACATGATCACATCTGATACCGAACTAGCGGGCTAATTTAAATCCTAGTATGGACATCAAATCAAAAATCTATAAATATGATACTTAACGTCCGTGATACGTGTGTACTTGTGCATGTCAAACATGTACAAACCACGTTATCACTGTGTCATGTCTTGTTGTCATGTCTTGTGTGTTCAGGTCCCGGCTGGTCATTTCCTGGTTCCGAGTATTGGCACAATTATATGATATGATATGATATGATTATATGAGAACATGCATGTTCTTAAGAAAGCAACGGCCATACACCGAGGTCGGACAATCGAAACGGGTCATCGGGCCCTCGGTCAACGTCCCAAAATTGATCCCTTCACTACGCCTCCACAGGAACGCTCAGTTGAGCTCAGGAAAAATATCTTCGCCTCCATGGTTGGATAAAGAATAAACAATACCAGAATTGGAGGCTGGCAATGCACAGACCGGCCATACTAAAGTATTAAAATCCTACTTTGACCCTGTGCAAGCAATCACAGACTGGGAAAACATGCATTACTAAATTCCTGGCCTAAGATACCATGTGGTCATCAATTTTGCTGGTATGTTGTTCCAACCTGATCATTAAATCCTTGTTCCAAGGTCGAGTGTTTCTTTGTATATAGCTAGTTTTTCGCGTCGGATTATTCTTCTGGACGCAGGTGATTTTCGGGCATGTTCTTTTTCCTGGGGTTGACCCCCAGGCTTTTAATATGGATTATCTAAATTACGTTGGGTCGGGGCCGTTTGGAAAAGCCCAAGATCCCGGCCACAGCAGCACGACAGGGATTCGGTTCTCGGTCACCTGAGTCGTGCGACAGAGAACCATCGGATGTCACGCTCGCTGAAGATCAAAGAGTCGCATGGATTCAGTGAGGAGTTTCATTGATTCTACTGTAGCTTATTGTTACTAATAGCTTCTCGTTACTACTAGTAAGGCACTTGTTACTAGAAGCGATGCACTTGTTCCTAGTAGCTTATTGTTACTTGGAGTTTCATTGATTCTAGCTAATTCTAATTTACAGATATTTACAGCCCTATCCTGATCTAAAGTGTATGTGTGATAGGTCTTTATTGCCCGCGAATATCGATGCATGGTAATGATACTACAACATGTTCCTACCTCTCGCGCCAGGAAGTCACAATGGGACGTGGCTTGCGCTAGACACGCAGGTCTACATACAAATCCCCTGAAGCTTTGCTTCAACCTTCAGAAGTCATAGACAGGAATCGACCTTGCATTGAGATTCCGGCCAGCCCCGCGTGCAAGCAAGTTGGCAACAAGTGAACAAGCCCTTCGGGCATGTTACAACTCTGAAGGGCAAGAAACGACCAGTGTTGTTCAGAGCAGAAGACGCACCTGGTCGCGTCGCGGTTGCTGCCATTGAGCCACCGGACAAGATTGGATCACATCTCCTCCCAATGACCTCAAAGGCGCAAAGGAACCGGCAACTGAGACCAACAGAACTGCCCCAGTTGGAAAAGCCGCTGAATACTGGTACGAGTGGCTCGATACTCACAGAGAGGAATCCGAAGTCTTCGTTGCAACAAAACTCAGAGAGATGATATTCAAGAGCCCCAGGATCAAAGAAGGGCTATGGAAGAGGTCAGTTGGCCAGTGCCCCACTCTTTGGGAAAGTTGCCAACGGCTTCTGCCGACTTCTGCCTCTTGTCGTCGAGTCATTTGGTACCACAGCAGGCATGATGAGGCTTGCTTTTCTTTCAACGGCAGCCAGTTGTTGTATGGCCCTATGCGAAGAGTGGCATTAGCAGAACATGTCTTCTGCATTCTGCTTCAGCTGTACATACAAAACCCAACAACCCGAGAAGTGCGGATGCGTTGCTGGTAGAGTATGAGGAAGTGCATCCGTATCTCTGCCGTTGAGTGCAAACCTGTTCTTTGAGAACAGCGGAGAGTCATTGGGACCCAAGGCTCAGGCTCCCTCTGAAAAGCCTACAATGTAGCAGTGTGTTTTTGGAGGGGGTTGCAAAGATCTCGCGGACGTGGATGTCTGGACACATCATCACATCCAGCAGCTTGAGTGTTGGGATCCCTGGGAATGTTTCAGAAACATGTTGGGAGCACAAATTCCCGCGCAGGAGGCTATCGCAACCAATGCTACAAAAGCAGGGCCCAGGGCCTACTTTGTGCAACCCTGCTTCGTTGAGAAATTGACTGTCGCACAAGCACCGTTCACCCAGCACACATTGGTGTTGCAGCCTTCTGATGGTAGCTATGCCGAAGTCTTCATTCAGGCATTCCATCTGGTACCCGGGAGATCTATTTGATCCGCGGGTAGGGCAGGGCACGCTTGGCCCGCCCGGGAGAAATGCATTATGATCTCGTTGCATTCTTCGTTGCTGTCGATCGAGGAGCGTCTGATGAGGGTTGAAAACTGGGGCTCGGTAGTTTCGGTGACGCTCACAAGACTAGAATACTAGAAGTACTTGAGATGGGCAACTGCTCAGTGAGGGACTAGCGACGAGTGATTCCCAAGGGGGATGGGGCATAGTTGTGCGTAATTGTGTGAGGTAAGAATACGTGGCCCAAGGAAACTGCAGCCTCCAAAAAGTCTTGACATGATGTGCAGTTTGTGTGCCCTGAAAAGAAAACAAAAAAATATTGTCCAATATATGAGTATATATGTTCAAGCAAAGAGTTGACTCCAGGAATTCCAAAGGGATTGGATGGAATGTGCCCACAAGTGAACGGAGTATCTGTTGATGGCGTTGGTAGATGGACTACATTGGCAATGGACACACCAAACAAATCCATTCATCGGACCGCCAGCTGACCACCTCCACGCCCTTAAGGCCCTTCAGGGTGCATCAGAACCCTCATTCATCATCTGGACCAGTTCAGAAGCACCTTGGCAACCAGAGAACCGGGCTGGGGTGACCTCTGGTGACCTCAAAATGGGTACAGTAGGTTCTGAGTGAATCATAGTGAATTCCCTCCAAAACAGGCAGTCTTGAAATTGAAAACAGATTCATCCCATCCTTTTGGGGACGCTAAGCTTTGTGACAAGTGGAAATCAGGTTCGGGATCAACTGGCTTCTCCTGCTGAAGGAATATCATCGGACCAATGGACCGTGCTGCCAATCACAAGATTGGCCTACAATGTGTGCCAGAAACGAACCCTGCCGGACTCAGACCCTTCCATGTTTGTTGATCACTGCGTGCCCCACCTGCCTCCTTACCAAACTCCCTCCAAGCGGCTAAAGCCCGCCAGTTGGAGGCCCTGCCATGGGGCGAACGCCATAATGTATTCGCGTTACTTCTCGTTTGCTCCCCCCCAAAAAAGAGGTCCCTCCACGAGAAACGCCGACCGGTCCAGTCACGTCAAGGCGTCTCCCCCTGACGTTGGTCGCGTCTCGCAGGCCTCGAGGGAGTCACAGACCGAGACGTTGTTGCGAGTCTCGGAGTCTAAGACCTGCAGCCGTGCTGGCTGCGGTTCAAGGAGCTTCCCAAGCACGGCCAGCGCGGGTGTCTTCAAATGGACATAGAGAGACCCCAGAAGACCCAGACTCAAACAACATGTTGCTCCTCATCCAGGACCGCGGAACCTCTCAGAACCTGGAAACCCTCACATCAAATCCGCGCTTCTCTTTCAATGCAGATGGATCCAATTTTCAACGGGCCTTCTTCGGACCATGTCAAATCGGGAAAGACATGGAAAGACCGGGACTCGGTGACTCCCCCCTTTCGCCATGGCTCGGCCTTGTGAACCAACGGCCACACCATGCGGCTGAAAATGGTCGGTGCATTCAGGACAATGGCCTCACACGCTACGTTTGGCCGAAGCGAGGCACAGAGGTCCTAGGATTCCTAGAGGTAGAGCAAGGAGAGGAACAATGAGAACAGGTCTTAATTGGGGACGTTCCTACGAGGTCCTAGACCAGGTCCTACCAGGTCCTAGCATTCTTTCAGGAGGTTTCATACGTTCACATGTTTTCACACCTTTCGGTCTATCGAGATGAGTTCTGCTCATGTCTAGGTCTGACCTTCCCTATGCAGCTAGTCCAGCCTTTTTCACTAAATGCTTGGCTGTCAAATCTACCCAAAAGCATCTTCAAAACCCAGGGACCGCTATGAATGCCCTTGCGCTTTGCGGCACTTTGCAGCGCTTTCCGGTGCCTTGCGGAGGTTGCTGGGATAGTGCTTCTCCGCTAGACCCAAGACCTGAAGTCGGAGGTCCAGGGAAAACAAATGAAATAATAGGCATTGCCAAAAAGGTTCGTTGCTTGGGAAAAAAAAAAAAACGTGGCGGTTCCTGTTGTTTGCCTTGCACATGAATATGCTTCTGTTTGGTTACTGATTGCAATATGTTGCGGTTCCATCCGGTTACATGCGGTGGTGGGTGTAGCAACCGCTGGGGCCAACAGAAAAACACGCCTTGAGGGTGCTCAATTTGTGACTGGGCCAACTTTCAACTCCCTCGATGCCAATCGTCCTCTTGACCCAGTTCGATGAACGCCAAAGCGTCCAGAATGCGAGCACCTTCAGCGTTCGATCACGCAAAGACCCGATCGTTGCCTTGACCAACGTGTGGAGGCCCGACAAGCATGACCTTAAGCGATGAGAGGCGTCTACTTGGCAACACATCCCAAAAGCAGACTGATCCACATTACTGGGGACTATTTCAGTAGAGATGTGTTGTTTTCAAATCGTACTGTAAGATGCTATACACAAACAGAAATGATTGACAACGCCATGGTAAGCACCAGGATCCAAACTGAATAAAATTATCCCTTCTTGCTTGATCTTGCTTGTGGATTCTGCTAAAACTACTGGTGCAACAATTTCCGTGTCAATTCAATTTCACTATATGCGCTATGCATAAAATGACTTCTCTGATCATCTCTAGCGCTTTGGTGGACGCTTTGCAAAAGAAGGCAATGCAAAAGGATTCTTTTGCCATCTTGAACTGTCCGTGGGTGCTCAATTTCATCAAACGGTGAGGCACTGTACCAGCCTAGGCTCGTGAGCGACGAGAGCAGCAGCTCTTTCAAGTCGTAGATCACCACCGTGCCAGGCATGTCGTGGGGATCGATGCTGCCTTTGGATGCTTTCTGCCCAACATAACTTTCCACGCATGTTCAACCGGAGTTTACTCCTGATATATATATATATCCTGATATTTCATCCCGAAGATGAGCAGAGCGGCCTACATATGTCACTGCAGGTCGGTTCACCAAGTCTTGACGTACACTCGTTGTTGCACAAGCCCTGCCTGATGCGCGCGCAAGGCCGTTTCGCTGCTGCTCGTTGCTTCGCTCCATCCAAAACATCCAGAAGAGGCGCAGCTCGTCCTGTTTGTATTGTTGGTGGGAAGCGGAGCCAACTGGGGAGCCGAGCAGGGACTGATCACCATCGACTTTTGTTCGTTCCTTCCCAAGTTGGCGAGGGCTCAATCAACAGTCAGTTCCGCGCCCAAATCCAGCAAAATATCCCTGTGATTGCCTGTGTGTCATTCCCAGGTATTGTTGGGACCCCCCTAGCACACAATCTTTTGTCAGGTCCCCCCCAGCTCGCCGCCGCCTTCCCTCGACCCCCTTCGACGGGCCTCCGCAACACCCAATTGCAGAAAGCGCACTGCCTGGGCCGCGCATGGGCCGCGCTGGTCTCAAATCACTCCACCGGGCTCTGATGCAGAAACAAAAAGCTACTATATAGGGGCCCCTGGCATCACTACTAGTAACAAGAAGGGGCTCCTGGCCTTACTACTAGGAGCAAGGACGCCACTAGTTCCTACTACACATGGTCCTTGTGGTCCCTGGTTCCATGGTGTTTCGCCGTTGAGCCAGTGTGGCAGGTGGTCCACTGTCAAATGGTTTCCCTGACAAAAAGGAAGTCCTAGGACGTCCCCGTGTGTTTCGTTCCAAAGCCATTCCGCCGATATTGGCCTTGCCCACATCGAAGAAGGAGACAGGGCTGCCATCACTGGTGGTGCCAATCCAAGCCTACACATTGCCAACTCGGGAGGCCAACGAAATCCTCAAAGTGCGAAATCCTCCGTGACTCCCGAGTGTTTGTTTTCTTCACGTTCCATAGACGTGGAGCACCAAGAAGTTTGGTGTTGGGAAAATCGTGTCTTCCTTTCAACATGGTGTGGAAAACACTGGTCTTTTTTATGAGAGTACCTTCAGTGATCTTCAGTGGCTGGCTTTATGGAAATCACCGGTTTAGTTGCCCTTCTACTGTAAAAAAGGCTCTTTGAAAGAAGACTCCAAGATCATCGGGACATATCGGGACCGCGGTTGGTTCACTTTGGTCCAAGTCAAGGAAATCCACCAGGCCCACCAGCTCAGCCAACTCCCATGCACTCTGATCCCGAGGATGCGTGATGCCCAACACAAGTCTCTGACTTTGGGATGATGAAAAGACTCAAAGACCTGCAATCCTGCAATCCTCACAAGGTGTCCC